TATGCAGATGTCAGGAGAGATAAAGTCATGAAATTTGCTTATAAATGGATAGACATGAAGAGTATCATGCCAAGTGAAATGAGTCAGAAAGAGAGGGACAGACATAGAAGGACTGCACTCATTTGTGGAGTATAAAACAACATAACATGAGGCTGATACCTAAGGATAGTAGATACATGGGACAGATAGATTGCTCCATAGCTGGAAGTCTGCCTCATGAGCAAAGGGGAGAAGGCAGCTGGAATAGAGAAGGGATCACTAAGAAAAAGATGGCTAGAGGAATCGGTCGGGATGGGAGATGTGCAGAAAATAGATAAAGGACCAAACATAATAACCTCTCAGGATGTGTATTGCAAACCATAATGTCCAAAAGTAGAGAGAGAGTATGGGGAATCATGTCTGCCATGAAGGCGGGGGTAGGGGGTGGGAAAGGGGGGGGTATACTGGGGATATTGGTCATGGAGAATGTGCACTGGTGGAGGGATGCGTGTTTGATCATTGTGGGATTGTAACCCAAACATGAAAGCGTATAACTATCTCGGTGATTCAATAAAATTAAAAAAAAAAATTAGAAGCTGGACAAATAGTACAGCAGGTAAGGTTCTGGTTTACTTGCAGCTGAGCCAGGCTGGATTTTTGGCACCACACATGAGTAGCACCAGGAATGATCACTGAGCACAAAGGCAGAAGTAAGTACCACTGTGTGCAGCCCCTCTCAAACAAACAAAAAATAATCAATACAAATAAAAGATAAAAAATTTATTTTTGGTCCCATGAGTTCTCAGAAAGTAGGCATTGAAAGCACCATTAGTCCAGAGTCCCTTTGCTCTGAGGTTACAGGCTTTGCTTTCTCCATAGTGTTTGGCTCAGGAAAAGAACACGGGACCAGAAACTGATGCTCTTGCATGGCCGAGGACTTGTTCTGAATACACAGCCAGCATCTGGCTACTCCAGTGGCTCCCGCAGGGCTTCACCAACAGGGCACCAATGATAAGGGGAAACAGGGATCAAATGCAACAGACTTGAACATCGACAGACCCTTGGGAACACCACGACTGGCAGAAAACTGAACATAATCTGTCAAATACTAAACTGCACTCTAATTTTTTTTTCAAAATTTTTCTCATCGGGGAACCATTTAATTCAAAACTAAAACTTAGCATTCTCTGAAACTGTTAGGTAGGGAAAAAAGGAAAAAGAAAAAGCAGAATCACCAAGTTCTGTTAGGTCTACACTAGTTCTTGGATCCGGGGCATGGCTGTTCTGAAAACCATGAGAGACTGAAAAGTTGAGCTTCCCAGGGTAAACGCAGCATGGGTAACTGCAGCAGTCCTGGCCCGCTACACCCTCAGTCTTCAGAATAGCATCTGGAAGGTGGAAAAGCAGTCAGAAGGAAGCAAATGATGGATGAGGAGTGAGAATTCTGAGCTCTCCCTTCAGACATGTCTGGTAAGAGCAACAGGACAACTTCTTACCAAGTTTTTCCATTTTGTCATTTCTGTTCGTAGTTTCCTCATTTCTGCTCTCATATCCTCTTGTTTTATTGGCAGTCCGTCCCATTGTTTCTTTGAGCTTCTTAAACATCCTTCACATTTCCTCTCTAAATTTCTTATCAGAGAGGTTTTAAAGCTCCTTATTACTGGTTGAGTCTTCCAGGCTACCACCTTCACTCACTAAGCCTGGTGGGTGGGGTCCTGCATTGCTTTGCCATGGCAGTGTTTGCAGTTTGGAGTTGTTTCTTGTATTTTTTTGTGTGGTTAAGTAACTACAGTTAGGACGTCTTTGTCTGCTCATGGTGAATTATGGAGAGGAGAAGAAATGTGTGGTCACATGCTTTTTGGGCAGATGTACTCCTGACCTGGGGGACTAGATGGCCCCAACACCACTGCTGTGCTGTGCCTCAGTATCCTGGAACCACACCGGACCAGGACAACTTCGTCAACACGGAGGCACTTGGGTCTTCAAGTAGGAAAACAAAAGGCACCTGCGGAGAGCTGGGCTCCTCCCCTTCATACCTGCTGGAGGAGCCTGGATACTGGGAAGTGGTGAATTCGTTTTTTCTGCAAAATAGGCAAAGATGCTATGCCAGGGTTCCAGGAGCAGAAACCTGGGTAGTGGGGAGGCTGGGTCTGAGGTTGGCTCATGGTAGCTGGTAGGAGGCCAAGCCCAGGCGGGGGGAAGTGGAAGAAGGGCTCTGCTGGAGGAAGGCCTCCAGCCTGATTGGGGTCCAAGTATGAAAATTCTTATAATTTAAGTCAATAGTCTTATCCCTGTTCAACATAACTGGGGAGAACATTTATTCTTTTTCTTGTCGAACACAAGTTCAGAGTTTTTCACTTGCCGCTCAATTCTCACAATAACAATGAAGGGGATCATCTGCTGCCCTTACAGATGAGCAAACTGGCTGGGAGAGCTTAAATGATCAGTCCAAAGTCATATAATGTCAGAACATAGCTACCACTGATTAAATATCTATTTCTGGATATCACTCCCAAGTCCATGACTGAGAGGGCAGACTGCAAAAGAAGTCGGCAAACTGGGGTACACTCTGGTTAACCCAACACTTTCAAAGGTTCAGTTAAAGTTGAGGCAGTGGGAGCTGAGAGGGGCTGGTGAGCTGTCCAAGATCATGGGGAGTGGATCTGTTGCTTTTTCCACTGATTTGCTAGGTCAGCTTCCCAGGAGCTCTGCAAAATTCGGGAACACAGCTAGGTCCTGAGAGCTATTTCCTGGAATAAATAAAAAGGGGCAAAAAGAGACCTGCTGCCTCTGGCCTCTTCAAATCAGAGTTCCCTTCTAGAAGCTGATGAAACCTAGAGCTAGAATGCCAAGCCGACACGGTGTGTTGTGAAGCAACCATAGGGACAACTGGCCTGGCCATGGGTAGAGTTCTAAGTTCACCCCAAGAAGCTGAACTGTCCTTGGAAGTAGGCAACTGCTATGGTTGTTTTGTTTTTTGGGTAAAGGGGAAAGGAACCACCCTAGCAGGGCTTAGGGACTCAAAAGCCACTCTTGCACACTTAGTGTGGTGGTGTTACTCAGGCCCAGCAGTGCTGCAGCCTCCAGGGCCTCATGTGGAACTGTCTAGAGGGTCAAATATTACCAGCTCAGGGCCTTGTACATGCCAGGCAAATGCTCCATTCTTCTGAGCTATCTCCCCGGCCCCAATAGGGAATTTCTAGAAGCTCTGATCTGTTAAGGGAATTGAGGCACCCTAGAATCAGGATCAACTGGAGAGAGCTGTGACCCTTTTCAGATTAACTGCCCCTAACTCAGAGGCTGGGAGTACACATCAGTGCTCAGTTGGGTTTCTCCCCAGGCCCCAGAGGCATCAGGACAATATTAAACCTAGATGCCTCCTCCATCTCTTCTTCACCAGCACTTATTGATGACATGATGGAATCTGCTGATGCTCTTACATGTGACCAAGCAGTATTTGTCATGGCTAACCCAGACCCCAACCAAGTCCAAGGAAACGCTTGTCCTGACGTTAGTTTGTGTGGAATTCTCAAGGTGGTTCTGATGGCCGCTGAATGTGTTTCTGTTCTCGTGAATGTGGGGTGTAGCACCGTAGCACTGTCCTCCCGTTGTTCATTGATTTGCTTGTGCGGGCCCAGTAATGTCTCCATTGTGAGACTTGTTGTTACTATATTTGGCATATCGAATACATCACGGGTAGCTTGCCAAGCTTTGCTGTGCCGGTGAGATACTCTCGGAAGCTTGCCAGGCTCTCCGAGAGGGGCAGAGGAATCAAACCCAGTCAGCCAAGTTGGCCACATGCAAGGCAAACACTGTACACCTGTGCTATCGCTCCAGCCCCAATTTGGGGTGCAGAGAGGGGAATCCACTGGGTTTGAACTTCTTTAGTATCTTTATAACACCACTGGAATGTAATACTTAGCCCGTATCTCACCTGAGGCACAGTAGCATTTACAGTAGCTGTACGTGAAACCGGAACATGGCGACAAGGCCACACACTGTCATCTTCCCCCACATTAATTTCCAAATGTAGGTGAAGGGCAGATTTTCAGAGGCTTGCTTTTGCACCTTCATGTCCAGTACCCTGGGAATGAGAGGCTTCCTGAAGAACTGGGAATATCTTCCAATGCAGCCCAACTTAAAAGTGCAAATTTGTACCTGATCCCTGACTCTGAATTCCAGCTCCACTACTTAACATAATCTTAGAACCCCAAAAGTATCATTCTTTCAATTATCTGCAAACTGAAATGGAATCCCCAGGCTTATTTTGAGAATGAGATTAAAGTGACCAAAATGTACTGTTTCCTTTCTTTGCTCTAACATTCTCCTTCTTATCACCTCCCCACCTGAGTCATGGCTGCCTGTCCAGTTGGCAGGGACCTGTCTACCAATGGCTGGAGGAAACTGGTAAGCTAAAAGCTTCCTCGTAAACTAAAACTGGTAAACTAAAAACTGGGCCACTGTAGACACAGAAGATACTGAGCAGGCCAGATCACAAGGGGAGTGAGGGAGGGAGGACAGATCATTAAGAAAAAATATATGACAGATGACAAAGACCCAGAGAGGGCAAGGTTAGTTCTTGATGGCACTTTGTGGCCATTTCTTTTTGTGGGCTTCACTGGATCCCTGTAATCATTCATATTTTGGATAAAGAAGGCTTGAGCAATTGTGTTTATCACCCAATAGTCTACACCAGAGAGAGAAGAGGGCACATGATTGAAGCACGTCTCAGTGTGGGTCTGGACATGTCATAGATAGTATTTGAAAATATCTGCCACATGCTCAATAAATAGTAACTGATACTACTGTCACAGGCAGCAGCTCACTGGGACCTGAATGACTTAATTTATGATTTATATTCCTCAAACTAGCCAGAGAATTCCATAATCAGTTTACATGGCAACTGCAGATGGAAACGAAAGAGAACAAATTCTTCTATTTCTTTTTGTGCAAGTTCTTGTATGTTAAATAAATGCCTCCTTGATTCGCAGAGGAAAAAATAATTATAGTATTCCATTGAATCTGAGAATAAACCTTTGTTTATTTTTTTAAAAGATAAACATGGCTGATCTGCACTAGTCATAACATTCTGGAGGAAATAAAATAATAGTCCACATTTCTAGTCTATAAATAAATAATACCCTGTTTTACTTATTCTGTTAGCCAACAATAAAGTCAGAAATGAGAAAACTGGTTAACGCTATCGGACACAGTATTTGATTATGAAGAAATGAAGACACAAATGGGGGAAAATGACTAACGTAATGAACTTAGTAAAGAATGATATTTAAGGGCTTACACATAAACCTTACATGTTTGACTTCAGCAACTAAAACACTTTCCAAGTCCTTAATGACGAGAACAGCAGCAAACTGTAAGACCATTAAAACAGGCATTTAAGATTCTGCTGCATTGTCATGAATAAACAGAAGACAATTTTATCAGTGAAGCTCCAGAAAATCCCAGCTACTTTATTCAAGCCAACATGCACCAACCTTATGTTTCGCCTTCAAATGTGGGCCCTTATTCTGGATTTAAACTGTACCTTCATAAACAACAGCCTAGAAGTGCAATGGGTTACAATGCCCAGCTGCAGAAGCCATCTCCCTGCCTTCTAGTTACAACACAGAAACAACTTCACCGGTGATTAAAACAGCAAACCCAGCTCAAGGGCACGCCCTCACATTATAAATACATTTCAGAATGATAAATTCTAGAAATAAAGACAAATAATGGTATGAAGGGCATGAGAGTTTATTTTTAAAAACTGTACCACACTGATCATGATGACCAGCATACACATTATGATGGCTTTTTCTCTTGGGTATTAACATTGCAGTATTTTAATATACTGAAATGTCTCAATAGGACCAAGAACGTTAGAGAAATAAAGTTCTTAGGTGAAAACGAACACTAAAAAATCCGGTGTCTTACACCCAGAATTAATTTTAACCTCCTAAGAATCCGTGGCTTATAATGTTATGTAGATATGAAGAACAAAAAGTTCCCCTATAGCAGGCAGCATGAACTTACACTTCCTTGTACTTGAATCTTTAGTCCTTTAATAATTTAAGCTCTGTCCACCCTGGCTAAAGCACAATCATACAAGACACCTCAAATAACTTCCATGCTACCATTGCCTAAGTTACTGATTTTGCTTTAAAACAAAATCAAACATCATAAAAAAAAAGGCTAATAACTGACTTTCAAATGCTTTGAAAAGCATGGTGCTTATTTGTCCAATAAAGACTCAAATACAATAATTATAATCTCCAAACTTCTGCAATAAAATGAGCTTTTACACATATATGAATTTTGTAAATAGAACTATGTTTAGCATTTAGAGAACAATATGGTTACTTTTCCAAGTGTCCACAGTAAAGACAAAGGACATGATTTAAATCTGGCTCTAAGTAAGGTACAAAATTTTGATCAAAACTGTGATAGTCTGAGGTCAAAAATTTGACTAATTGCAATCACTTTTTTTGAGTAAATGTGCTATTTGGTACCCTCTTTCTATCAATCCTGTTCGTTCATCAATGTGACTCACTGATATTTTTAACTGGCCTCCTTACTTCCATGTTACCATTTCAATACCCAGGGATTTCTGAGGCAGTATTGATCTGACTTCATAAGAACAGCAGATACTTAAACCTTTCAGTGACAATTTTCAATCTGTAAACGCAAGAATCACATTATTCAGCTCAGCAACTATAAAAAAAACAACAACAAAAACATGAGATTTTGGCATTACAAACCAGAACCTCTTTGTGCTTTTAAAATTAAGCTGTTTCTGAATCTTTTTGGTATGTATCAGCCATTTGTGTTTTTTTTCCCTTTTACCAGTAAAAGAATATATTTAAACTAATTTTAAGAATAAATGTCCCAGGGGCTTATCAATACTTTTTTAAAAAATTATTTTTTTTCCTCTCCAACATGTGGAATAGTAGAAATTATTTCTGGTCCCTCCTTAGCTCAACCAACACTACTCATCATGTATAACACTGAATTTTACAGACATCCCTGAAAAGTTTTGATTAAGTAAACGAGTGAATCACAGTGGAGTCTCCATCAGTTAACAGTGTAGATCCATTAAAAAAAAAAAGAACGAAATCACACTGGAAATGAAAAGAAAATATTCAAGCTAAAACAAAACCTTCCTAAGAAATAAAACCTAGTGTGTCGTCACCGATTCTGTGCTTGTGTCCCCTGCTGACCAGACTCCTCCTTCTCTGTGTTGTAAGACATGTTCTCAATCTCCACGCCAAGTTCCCAGGACACTTGAGTGAAGGGCTATGCTACTGTTACATCTATGGGAAAAGTGTGCACCATTTTCTCCCCTAACAGACTCCATACCCAAAGATGAGCATTGAGGATCCCTCCGCTACGCTCCCAGCAAGACTCAAGTCCAGGACTTGCAGTGCCAACTGATGACAGCTAATCCTGCCCCCACACCGTCCATCCCCAGTATGAGACGACCAGCAGCATGTCGTTATATGCACGGCCTTTCTCTCTTCCGATCAGAACATGTGTGGTTATTCTAAACAGGTGAGGGCGGGGGAGGGGAGGAATAAGGCTGGGTGGGGAAGAGTGGATGAAATGAAAAACCAAGAGTCTAAAGGCACAAAGTCGCATAGCTGCTCTAGTTGGAGTTTGTAAACAGAGAATAGGTTGAATTTCGGCAATCCCAATCTATGAGAGTAAAAAAGGCATCCACAGCAGGCTTTTATCCAGCCAGCTTCTTTGAGACCCTTCATGGGTTTTTGAGGTCTACAAAGTATGCACTAAAATACCCATACTTCAAAAAAGCAATAAGGCAAATAGTATACTCATTATTCCAAAAGTTACAATGGTAGTGTAGGCATACATAGTATAATTTAGTTACAATGTGTGGTACTGTTTCTATTACATAACCATATTAACTGTTTCTTTCCTACATAATTATATATTCAGCAGAGTTTCAGTTGAACACAAAACCATCCTTGTACCACCACTGATAGTTGGCAATAGCTCTTTGATAGCAGTCTGTATTCTGCTGGAGAAATTATCCATGAACTGAAAAAAAAAAAGTGCACAATCCAATGTCCAGTCATTAAACACTATCGTATTTGTGAAGAGCTTCTTCCAACTTCTGGGTCACTTTTTGGAAAAATATTATCTGTTGTTGTAAGAAATGCTGCATCTGTGATTTAAAGTCTCTGACTCGAATCTGATGGAAGTGGTGAATTTCAGCCAAAGTGGCAAAAGAAATAGTGTTACAACGATCTTGAATGCCATCAGCCTTTTGGACCTCCATCTTCCCTTCTTCCACGTGTCGCCTACTCTCCTTTACTTTGGTAAGAGCTCCTGTAGTTTAAAAATAAAGAGAAAAATAAAAAATATATACATGCGTATTTCAATAGCAGAGTTACACATCAATCAGAACTCAGGCATCTTAAGTATTTGTTTCAATTATTTTAAAGTCTTTCGGAATTTAAAGATTATTGTGCCTATTTAAAAGAAAGGAAAGAACAGGGCATGCTTAAGAGACAGCGTTTAGTTATCAAATACAAAACATGGTAAAGCTCTATTTTTGCTTATTTTTAAAAAGATCCCTAAATGAAGCTGATGATAGTATTAAAACATAAAGCATGTTAATAAAGATACTAGTAATAAAAAGTTGCTGGAGATCAAATTCACTCATGGAAGGCAAATGCTTTACCACTAAATTACATCCCCAGCCTTAAAAGTTATTGTTAATAGAAAGCATTATTATCTAGAGAGCATTAGATTCAGAAAAATTTCTGCGTGATATACTTTAAAAAATTAGAATTTTTAAATTTTTCAAGGAGAAATGCCTGGTCTTGCTGGGGGTGGGCAGGACCAAGACAATGGGGTTGAACTGAAGGCCTCACGAATGGTAGGCATGTACTTTATACTGAGTTATCACCTCTTCCCAAATTAGAATTGTTATATGACTTATATCTTGGTTGGTCATTTGGTCACTTATTATAAAATGCTCATAATGATATACCAGGTCATGAAAAAAAGCAAAATTTTTAATGCTACATGGTATTTCATTACCCAATTATATATACTATATTTATTTGTTTATGTACTGATAACTTTTTGAGATAGAGTTTGCTTCCCAATGTACCAATAATTTTATTTCATTTACTCCTTTGTATTGGTAGAAAGTAGTACAAAAATGTTGAGTGGATCAGCTTGTAAAGTTGTAAACTGCCAAAAACAGTAACAACAAGTCTCATGATTTGTTGTGAGACCTTACTGGTGCCTGCTCGAGCAACAGGACAGTGCTACAGTGCTACTAAATTTATTTAGTGAATTGATATTTTTGAATATTGGGTTTACTTTAATTTTGTGATCTATTAATCATTTTCTTATAGTTATATCAGGGGTACAGTTTGTGTGCTTTTGTTCCTTTTCTTCAGTACAAATTTCTTAATAAAATTCTTAATAAAATAAAAAAAATAAAAGGAAAGAAGGAAAGGAGAGAGGGAGGGAACAGCTAGTACAGAGGGTAGGGCATTTGATACTAGCATAGCATAAAGATACTAGTAATAAAAAGTTGCTGGAGATCAAATTCACTCATGGAAGGCAAATGCCTTACCACTAAATTACATCCCCAGCCTTAAAAGTTATTGTTAATAGAAAGCATTATTGCATATGGCCAACCCAAGTTCAATCCAAGGCACCACATATGGCTCCTTGATCCCTTCCAGGAGTGATCTCAGCACTGCTGAATACGACCCAAAACTGAAAAGGGTTTGGGGGTAAGGGGGTGAGAGCGAGAATATGGCAAATTTTCCAGCTCCATTACTGAGATTTCATTTGTCAAAAGTAGCCCTTCCCACTAACAACTACTGAGAACAGATTTCATCTCTTCCAAGCAAAGATACTACATAACAGATAAGCTGCAAGGACATATTCCTTAAGAGACAAGAAAACTGCAGTTTTCACAGGCTTCTGAGAATGTGATACTATTATGCACACATATATGGAGAAAGTCACACCTGTTTCCTCAGAGTCTTTCTACAGCAGTATCACAAGAGACTTCAGAACTAGACACAGACCTATTAGTAGACTTGGTATATATTTTGGAAATCCTATCCTATCAATATAAACTGTCTTCGATTAGGCCACTGCAGCTAGCCAAGTTCTTATCTTGCTAGTGATAAAGATGCAAATGATGCAGGAACCACCTGAACTGCAGACATACTGCAACAGAAGGCTTCACCAGGGGCACAAGAGACTGCTGATTCAGTCTTTGTTTTCTTTTCTTATATTTTATTTTGGAGAGTGCGGGGGGGGGGGGGGGGGTGAGACACACTCAGCCGTGCTCTGTGTTTACTTCTGACTGCACTAAGGGATTACATGTGGACGGGATCAAGGGGCCATATGTGATGGCGGGAATCAAACCCAGGACAGCTGTATGCAAAACAAGTGCTATAACCCCTGGACTATCTCTCCAGCCTCTTCTCTTGGGGTGGTTTAAGCAGGCCCAGTGAGTTGGTTCTAGCTTCACGAACACCTGGGAAAGAAGCAGAGGTGCCAGAGCAGCTCCGCCAAAGCATCGCGAGAGGGCTGGAGCAATAGCACAGCGGGCAGGGCATTTGCCTTAAACGTGGCCGACCTGAGTTCAATCCCCGGCATCCCATATGGTCCCCCGAGCACCGCCAGGAGTAATTCCTGAGTGCAGAGCCAGGAGAAACTCGTGTGCATTGCTGGGTGTGACCCAAAAAGAAAAAAAAATCAAAGCATCACGGGGGCTTACTCTGAGAGGCCCAAGGAGGAGGAGAAGGTGGCCAGTTGAGGCAGCAGGTGACAAGTCGGGGGCCCTCCCCCAGTAGCAGGTTCACTCGCAGGAAGACACAGACAGTAAGAATGTCTAGGGGTGGGAAACAGGAACACACAGGCTGCTGTGATGAGCACAGGCAGGGCTCAAATTGCCTGAGCACCAATGGCTTGTGAATCGCTATTCCCTAACTCTATCCAGCACATGTTCTAAAGACGGGAGAGGAGCTGGAAAGATAAGCAGGGAAGGCACCTGCCTTGCAAAGACCCACCCAGGTCCAATCCCCGGTACCACATATGGTCCCCCGAGCAGTGCCAGGAGTGACCCAAGCCCCACCCCCTACTCCCTGCACACATACTCTGAGAGGCCCAAAGACAAGACCCCATAGAGAAAGGGAGGGAAAGAAGGGGAAGGCAGAGACAAGGGGAGAGAAACAGAGGACAAGGGCCCTGGCAGCCTGGGAACATGAGTGGGGAACAAGGCAGCCAAGCTGTCAGGCAGGAGTTTGGGCAAGAGACTCTGCAAACGGCCGCTGTAGTTCATGATGAACGACAGACAGGAAAAGTCTTCTAAATTGCTCCAAATCTCTGGCAAAACAGAATACACCTAGTATTAAATAAAACCCTTAGGAGGCTGGACAATACAGCGGGCAGGGCACTGCCTTGCACGCGACCACGCTGGGTATGATCCTGGCATCCCATATGCGTATGGTTCCCTGAGTCCGCCAGGAGAGTGAACCCTGAGCACAGAGCCAGGAGTAAGTCCTGAGTACAAATGGGTGTGGCCCACACCACAATCCCCCTCAAAACAAAACACCCTAAAACCAAAACACAACTGGAAAGTATATGAGGAAGAAGTAGAAATAAAAGCTGAAAACCTGAAAACACAATTATGAAATAAATGTTTAAAATTGGAGAGGAAGAGAGAGAGGGAGATGGGGGAAGGGAAGGAGGAGAGGCTGGGAGCCGGAAGTTAAGCGGTACCTGAGGCTCCTTTTCATCAGATTCTGAGCTGTGAGCCCAGGGACACGAGCCCACAGCCCAGCACGCACCACCGAGGATGAGCCCACGGTGTCCTAACCTGCTTGAACCCTGGTACATGTCGAGAGCTGCTGCCTACAGTGGCGATACGCTGAGTGTTTCTATCACTGCAGCTAATAACGTCCGGCTTCTGGTGACAGAGAAGAGGGGTCAATGTGGAAGGAGCTCCAAGTGTGGTGGCCAGGGCTACAGGAATGCGAACTAGCTGCATGCAGACTGCTGCTCTCCAAAGGCATTAACTATATTCCTAGAAGCCACCTGCTATTATACCGCCTGACGCACATCCAAAGAGTCTGGAAAAACCAGCAGCTAAAAAGGGCGAGTCTAGTGTTCTGACAACCAGCACGCATGCTCAGAACTCCCGGAAGCAGTCACAAGTATCAAGTAAGTACTCTCTCTGCAGCCTAAAGAACTTTTGGCAGTTAATACTCTTTAAGTATTTTATGTGTGCATAACGAAAGGAGGCAAGGAGAAGTCAAGTATGAATTCACCCAAGTATGAATCTGTTTAGTAAGTAATAAAAACATTGCTATTTCCAAACCCTGACTCCCTCCCTCCCCCAAAAGGCTGGGCTTTGGGGCATGGATGCCAACTCGTATTCACAAACAGTCATGGAAAGCCTCATGCATAGATACAGAGCCCGTTGTTAGAAGAGGGAGATTCAAACACTTTAACACGCAAGGCCCCACCCTCTGTCAGCTCTCAAGGAAGCCACACCTCGGAGAACATCAGGAAGGCCGACAGCTTTGCCACCAAGTGAAACGGGGCCAGAAACGACAGAACGCTGCATGGGAGCTAAGTAGTATCTTCCCCAAGATAACATGGAAACTGTGTCATCATGGAAAATGCTAAGAGATTGTGCTGGGGAGTTTGGGGAGGATGCGGGCAGGGGATGGGCGGGAACAGGCATTACACACGGTGAGTGTGCCCACCCTGAAGAGGAATGCCGCCTGCAGAAGATCCTTCCCCACAGGCGCTCTGAACCTGCTGCAGGTCTCCTGTCTCCATCAACCCCCCACAATATCTGCTCGGACAAGGAAACCCAGAAAGTGTGCCTCAGCATCCTGGAGCCTCAGGGTCATCAGGCAACCCCGGAAGAGGAAGAGACGGGATCTGAAAACAATCAGCTCCAAATGAGCAGCCGGGAAGACACTCAGAAGAGGAACTGGAGTCTGAGTGGGTCAGAGGGCAAAGTGGGCCAGGGGGAGCATGAGGGAAGGCTTTTGCCCCTCCTGCCCTTGGCCATGCAAATGTCTCCCCATTTCCATGCACTGCCCCACCTCACCCCCTCCCACACCCACCCTTCTCACCCTCTTTCTAAGGTGAAAGATCCTGTGGGTATGCAAAAGACATTAGGCAATAATCGCAGAGCACATTTAAAAGGGAGGAGTGCCACGCTGTGCCTGCCTGCCAGAGGATGACAGAAATTCAGAATTACCACCATTATATTCACACACATTTTTTAAAAAAAAGATTATTCCTTTTTTTTTTTCCTTTTTGGGTCACACTCG